CACATTGAATTTTGCATACTTGGTTGATATTCCCTATTAATACTACTGTTTTGGTGGAAAACATAATATTATCCAATTCTTCTCCCACCTTTGCCAAAATAATCGTTTGAAAATCATACACCAAGTTTAGTAAAATTAGTCAAGTGGTTTGGTGATATTATTTTACTGGCAAAAATGCACTGAGGGACATGTTTTAGGTACCAATGCTCTCAGATAAATTTGACGTTTTTGAGGATTATGGTAGGTGGATGTGGGGCCTCCGCCAATTTGTATATTATTTCCTTCCCGGAGTCATAATATAATAATTAAGGTGTCTAGATCAGTTACGCCTCTCCCTCAACGCACGCCACTGAACGCCAACACACCACATCAAAACAATCCACTATAAGACACAACAAACACCACCCATTCCGACATCACACACCACGCCTACTACGCTAAATTACAATAAATTATGTAATAAAGTTTGCTATCGCGTTAAAACTCTCTGTAGTTCCTTTGTCCTTTCCAAAATCCGCACCACCACTTTCACGAGCCATCTTGCTTCCTATGTAGTACAATAAATTATGTTTGGAATACGATTCGCTAATCGTAATCCCGTACGGTGTCCAGTGGAATCAGCAACCGAGTTCGAATCAGATATATTAATTGTAGCGCGAAAGATCGCTGACGCAAAAATATATAAGCGAATGTGAACGGTTGATGTGGCTCAGGCAGAGAACGTAAATGAATAGAGAAGGAGCAAATGTTAACTGAAAACTTTTTGAGTACTAATTTGTAGTTCCAGATGAGGGAACATCGAAAAATATAACTTCGAAAAATAAAAATACACCACGCAATGTGCGAAATGCTATAAATAGACACAACGAATATTCCTAAATGAAAAATCGTTGCGCATACCTATTTAGATTTATGTTTTCAATTTCTATGAAATGACAAATTTATAATTATGAAAAGCCTTCTGAATTAAAAATCTGTNACCGGCTCTGAATCGTCGAAACCATTCCTCCGCGGTTCGAAGTGATAGAGTACCATCCCTCGAAACACCATTAATCTCACGGAACGTTTCTCTAGCGGATTTGCCTTTAACGAAGGAAAACTTTAAAATAGCGCGAATTTTACACGTCTATAACTGTTGAACGCAATATCCAAACTAATCATGCATAGCGTTGTTTTGTAGGTTATGTCAAGAACTTTCAAATTATGTATAGTGTTGCCAGATACGAGCTCTGTAGCGCTTTATACATAGCCGCGAAATACAAAGACAAAGAAGCGGAATATATGTATACAAGTATATAAGTATGAAATTATGAAACCAATCTTTCTCATTACCCTCCAATTTTCTGGACAGTAAGGATAAAGCATAAAATATATTGTAGCCCTTTTTTGTTTGAACCTTGTGAAGCTTTAACGAATGCAGGTTGATACTTCCACAAATAAAATACGTACATACTTGTACATATGCATAGGGAACTATGTAATCGGCTAGAGGTTGTATTGAAAGTTTTGTGTATTGTGTAAGTTTTGAAGAGTTAAGCGACAAACAGCTGTTTAGTGTACAAGTATATAATTATATCAAAGTCACATACACACACTTACTACTTTAATTACATATCAGTCAAAAGTTGTTTTTAAGAAAAGTACCCCACAGCCATCGAGATAAAAGTTATAATAAAGTTAATTATCATTATAGACGTACAAATTATACATATGTAGGCATGCATAAATTGATAACTTTAGCAGCACTACCTATATAAACAGTTGCTTATATATAGACAACGCTGAGAGCGACCAAAAGCTCAACTAAATAAAGCGCAGCTTTAATCCAACAATAGCAGCAGTTTAGATCAGAGATCGTCACAGCTTATTCACAACTAGAAGCTCAACGGTTGCGGACGATAACGACGAATACACCGAAACAACGGTAAAATGTTGAACTTAAAACATTTGTTTTTATTGAGTCTGGTTTATATGGCACACGGTACGGATTCGGATATAACAAAATTTATGAAGCACCTGGAAGTAATACCTGATGTAATCGCGGAAGGACCAAAAAACTTTTTAAAAGTATGGCTATTAACATAGTATGCTAAGTTAATTTCATGAAGTTCAATTCGATTTTATTTTTTGGTAGGTGCGCTATGACAGTGGTGTAGTCGCTGATAAGGGCGTAGAGCTGACGCCGACACAAGTGAAGCACCAACCGAAAGTGGAATGGAATCCTGAAACGGCTGATACTTACTATACACTGATCATGACCGATCCGGATGCACCTAGCCGTGCTAAGCCTGATATGCGCGAATGGCATCATTGGTTGGTGGTCAATATTCCCGGCAATACTTTGGAGAAGGGTGAAGTTCTATCGGCATATGTTGGTTCTGGCGCACCGAAGGATACAGGACTGCATCGTTACGTATTCTTGCTCTACAAACAACCAAAGAAACTGGAATTCAGTGAAACTCACCTCACGAATACAAGTGCAAAGGGTCGTGAGAAATTTTCAACAAAAAATTTCGCAGAGAAATATGTACTTGGTGTACCAGTGGCTGGAAACTTCTTCCAAGCTCAATATGATGACTATGTACCAGAATTGTATAAGCAATTAGGATTTTAAAGTTGCAATTCAAATGGTCCAAGTCGAACGATTAAAGAAGAAAACTTGATTAGAAATAGTTTTTTTTTTTGTTTCTTCTATCGATTCGAACCGTTAAGCAAGTATCAAACACAAACATGCAAATCTTATTTTATGTACATACTCGACAATTATACGTATAAACAAATATACACGTATGCGTGTAGGTTTATATTATATTTAGCTGCACATTTACATTGATTAACAGTTTCCAAAGTAGTGCATAAATCATAATTTGAATATTTATGAAAGTAAGTAATGATGAAAGTGAAAACATAGATTGGCTGGTTGGATACAGAGTGCTGGCTTATTAGACAAGGTCAGCAAGGCGGTAGATGACTATTAATGAGCAAACCAAAGAGTTACTTAAGCGGCTATTATTTGCGAAACTGGTTCATAACGTAATAGATCTTATAAGCCCATATACATATATATGACATATGTACATATATTTTTAGTGTAGACATATTATACTAATTCACTATCTCCAGAAAAATAAAAACAATTTAAAAAACGCAAAATGCAAATAGGCAGACTATATATTATATAATATAATTTATATAAGGTAAATCTAGACTAGTTGTATTTGCTGGACTTATTGTTTACGCAATAATTCATCGGTTAGAAAGTGAAATTTGTTATATTCACATTGAATTTTGCATACTTGGTTGATATTCCCTATTAATACTACTTTTGTGGAAAACATAATATTATCCAATTCTTCTCCCACCTTTGCCAAAATAATCGTTTGAAAATCATACACCAAGTTTAGTAAAATTAGTCAAGTGGTTTGGTGATATTATTTTACTGGCAAAATGCACTGAGGGACATGTTTTAGCCAATGCTCTCAGATAAATTTGACGTTTTGAGGATTATGGGAGGTGGATGTGGGCCTCCGCCAATATATTATTTCCTTCCGGGGTTAATATAATAATTAAGGTGTCTGAATCAGTTACGCCTCTCCTCAACGCACGCACTGAACGCCAACAAACCATCAAAACAATCCACTATAACACAAACACCACCCATTCCGACATCACACACCACATACTACGCTAAATTACAATAAATTATGTAATAAAGTTTGCTATCCGTTAAAACTCTCTGTAGTTCCTTTGTCCTTTCAAAATCACCACCACTTTCACGAGCCATCTTTCTTTCTTATTTTACAATAAATTATGTTTGGAATACGATTCGCTAATCGTAATCCTACGGTGTCCATGGAATCACAACCGAATTCGATCAGATATATTAATTAGGCGCGAAAGATCTGACGAATATAAGCGATGAACGGTTGATGTGGCTCAGGCTCGTAGACGAAAACGAATGTGTTGATTGAAGATCCAATCCTTTTAACTCGCTTATATTAGTTTCCTGTATGTGTTTGTAACTAAACTAAACAAAGCAAAGCAGACTTCGATAGGCCTTCAGCTATCGAAGCTGCAGAACCCTGCGTCTTGCGCACTGGGCAATGCGCACCTCCCCACCACCACGCAGGTCATCGCGACTCACACCACTCCATTTGGTTATCAATCAGACTCGAAGCATACATGCTCTATGACAGCAGAGGGTATGTAAGGAAGTTAATCTCGTCTCAACAAATGAGGGCCTTAGAATAACACGCCACTGGCCCTCCTTCCAAGAGACGTATAACGAAGAGTAAACTTACGAAAAGTTTAAAGTTACTCTCGGCAGTAAGGCGAACTGACGATTCCACACTTGACCAACTGTTGAGAGGTAGCACTATTCGAGTGGTACACTGACGGCTCGAAAACACCAGCAGGAATTGGCGCTGGCATTGCGGGACCGCACCAAACTTTCCATTCCATGGGCAGTTTTCCATGTTTTCAGGCGTAGTTTGCCATAGGTCGGTGCGCAATGTAATCTCAACGCACAACTATCAGAAAGTATCGCAATACTCGGCGATAGCCGGCGGCGTAAAAGCGATATCGGCCTGAGATACGTTCGCTATTAGTGGAGGAGTGTATAGGAGAACCGCACGCTGGCAGCTTGCAACGTGCACCTGATCTGGGTGCCGGGGCAAAGGGTAGCCGGCGGCAGAGCTGGCGAACGAACTCGCCGCTCTGCTGCGACTAAGAATGATGGGGAGAACCATACATTGCGGTGGGCCCCCATCAATGAGAACTGCTCCGCACGGAGGAGATCGAGCAGAGAGATCACTGGCACAGACAGCGGGGATGCGTCGACCAAACTGCTACTGGAGGGTTCAACCTAGCGAGTTCACGAGTTTAACTCCCCAGAGACAAACTCGTCTCCTTGTCGCGCTCTACTGGGCCTGCAGGCTCAAGAACCTATCACAGGCCTGGCAACTGCCGATTCTGCGACATGGACCGGAAACCAGACACCTAATCCTAGTGCACGCAATTTGTAGACAGGGTTCAAGGCCCGGTTCCATTTTGGACCAGGATCATTCCTCAATAGCACGCAAGTATCATGGTTTTCGTGTTTGGACTTTGGGAATATTGATGGAGAGAGGCACAATAGACCCTAGGTCGCATTAAACTCATTTCAATCTAATCAATCTAACTTCTACTAAACTCGATTACAAGTATACTGAAATGTTTGCATACTTTTGAGCATTTTGACATTCAAAAGAACAATCAATGAACAAAAGAACAAAATTATAATTTTTTTTTTATTCTTGTTTATTTTTATTATTCCATATTTTGGTCTGGCTTAAAATTTTTATCTTGAGATAATATTATTTTTTCTGTTCATTCATTGTTCCGTTGAGATGTCAAATATCTCAAAATATGAAACATTTTGCGCATACTTAATCGTTGGGTCTAGTTTGTTGCGATTTTTATTCGGTACCGCGCTCAAGAGCCATGAGAAGCTATTCAAAGCTTAAAAAGACTGTAAGAATCATAACATGAAATAAAATTTTTATGCAAAATACTTTTTTCAATATTATACGAAAGTAGATTAGTGTTGCGATGGCTATCGACAACTATCATTAATATACAATAAAATATGTTAAAATAAAAATTAAAAACCGCAAAGTCGAACTAGTTGAAAATAATTTTAAAATTAACTCAAACAAATATATATAAAATACTAGCATAATTGAGGAAGAAGCGTGGAGCGCTCGATATACGAAATTATGACACAAAGGCTTAAGCCCTTTCCTCAATTATACTAGTATTTTTATATATTATTTGTTTAAGTTTTAAAATTATTTCAACAAGTGATTCTTAAAAGCGTTTCTTGTTTTAATCTATATTTATTTTTGTTATGTGTAGGTGTCATCGTATGTGGGGTAATTTGTATGGTAACATCCTGTGGATGGTCTGTATGTTGTGAGTGAGGTTGTTTTCAAAGTGTGTTGATGTATTAGTGTGTCATTATTTCCCGATGGAGCGGTGTACTTGGAGGGTTTATTAATTTAAACATCCTGGCTAGGGAATATTTTGCTTATTACATATATCGCAAATGTCCCAGGTATCACGGGTATGCTATTGGATTAGCGAGCGAGGCATGCGTGATAATGCAGTAGTGGTATATCCATATTTATTTGTAGCGTTTGGTTTTATATCAAAATTTGTATTTTATGTTGGTATAGTGCTTAGATTAGATAAGCAACTTTATTGTGCGCGACAGATGTCGATGATATACCCTTAAATGAGTTTTCTGACTCGACTATATTATGATGATCTTGTATATTTGTTATTTTTGGCGATTATTTTTATCTTTATTATCGCTTATAGGCTAGCGACTCCACGCGCGCTGCTATGGTATGACATTGGGTGCTCAGAACTTTGAAGAGGGATTTTGCAGAGTGTACAGTGATTAGCCGTGAATTGAGAATGGATTTTTCGAGTAGTAATGTGTAAATTCGATATATTTATTTGTAATATCCATCTACTTTTAGAAGGATTGAAGATGTTTATATCTGATTCCAATCCACCATATGAGGAGCGCTTAGATAGATGCGATAAGTGCCACTTTTTAGTTTAATTTTGAAATTTTATAATTGAGTTTTTCGACCATTCTGTTTATTTATGTTAGACGTATGCGGGGTCGAAAAGTTACATATTTGGATTTTTAAAACTAATCTTCTAGAAGAGACTCACTTGTTTTTCTACAAATTCTTGGAGTGTTGAAACAATGTGATTTATAGCGCGTCGCTGTATGTTATGTAGTACGTTGCGGGGTCGAAAAGTTCATATTTGGATTTTAAAACTAATCTTCTCAGAAGAGACTCTGATTTTGTTTTTCTACAAATTCGTGGAGTGTTGGAACAATGTGAATTTAATGGCAGTCGTATGCCATACCGACCATTATTTGTTCTAGTAGTTGTGGCTTTGTAAAAGTCTTACAATACTGATCTTCTGGGGTTGTAAAAAATTGAGGGGGAGTTTTCTATGTCCCGAAATTTGCTTAAATGTAAATGAATTTTCGTCAACTTAAGTTGTTGATATGGAAACTGGTTCAGTGACTAGATCACTTAGAATCCAACCGAATATACAAGGTACAATTCAAAAGTTCCAGGACTTTTTAAACAACGTGGCTTCTAGTGGCGCCATTTGTCTGAAATTGTTATCCCTCAATCGTGTATTCTGCAGTGTTGTCGTATGAAATTTATATAACAGCTGACTTGTATAACAATTGAGATATCGCGCTTCATGTGACATTACATTTGTAGTGTCAGTCGGAAAATGAGCATCGAACAAAGAGCCAACATTAAGTTTTGTTTTAAACTTGGTAAAACTTTTACCAAAACTCATCAAATGATAACAAGTTTAGTAGCAGATGATTGTCTATCCCGTAGCCGTATTCACAGTGGTTTAAACGTTTCAAGAAGAACGGGAGACTTGAAGACGACGAACGTTCGAGGCAGCCAAAGATATGTTGGAACGAAAAAAACAAGAAATTGTGCGTGAATACATAAAAGAGCCGAAATCACGCTTAAATATATGGAATCGAATTATCAATATCGCAGCGTCGATTTATCGTATTTGACAGAAATTTGGGCCTCGAAAGGTTATGTGCTCGATTTGTCCCGCACACTTGAAACAACACGAAAAGACCTCAGAATTCAACATTCAAGAGACTCATTAAAGAGGCCAAAAGGACCCAAACTTTTGTAATCGATTGTGATCGGTGACGAAACATGTGCTTTGAATATGACCATAGGCCATGAAAGAAACCGCTATGCTGACGTTGATGCCATCCTCAACGCTATACCGACAAATGACCTAAAAGTCATTCGATAACCTTCTTGAACTGCAAACGTTATATTCAGGCGAGAGAGACTATTTTGAAGGCGACCAATAAAAAACAAATAATAATATTCGTTTTAAATAAAAGTCTGAAATCTTGATTGCACCTGTGTAATTTTGGGCTAGAAGGGTGGTTGACATTTTTCAACACCTTAAGTATTACTTGCGGTGTAAGGTCGCCGCCTACTATTATATCTATTTGAGCGGGGTATTTCAGTTGGATCTGCAGCTCAGGTTTGAAACCTTTGCCAATGCTGCTATTGGCACTGATTGGATAT